ATGGTTGTTTAAGACTATGGAGAAGTAAGTTCATACATGTACTGTCACCCTCTAATGTCTATTATACTGGCATCCGGGCTGGGCAAATCCTGGTTGTCTGTTGGTAGAAACTGTATCTATGAATGTGAAAATATCCTCACTGCGGTAGTGCTGTAACAAGGCTATCAGTGCATGCTTTTCCAGTTAGTCACTACACAGAATAGAGACACTATCCTATCTGCAGCACTCCACTCCAGTGAGGCATTAGTAAATTGTGGTTGTGGCTCAGCTGTAGAAAATTATGGCTCTTCTATTCTGAAAAGAGGTATTAATTTTAGGAATTAAGGGACCAAACGTGGACTTCAGTGTAGGATAGTGCACATGTATTCAGTAGGAAAATATGCAGAGCGTCCACGGTATAGGTTTTTCATCCACTGAAGAAGGTGGTGGTGCAGAGAAAATGTACTAGCTGTAATAAATGAGGTGGCAATCCGTCATCCAGTAGTGTATTTATCCCTTGTACTGCCCTAGGCAACACTAAAATTGAGTGCCTCCCACCAGCAACCCTGCTGCACCCTATACTGAAGTTTAAGTGACTGCTGTGTAGTGAAGGATCTGTGACGTGCTGTGTGCCCACTTCCCCCGATTCTGATCTGACGGCAACCTCCCTAGGCACTCCCTTGTGTATGCCCCCAACTGTGCCCAATGTGCCGGGGATGTCATCCCCTGTAACCATAGCTGGGTCCTCCTCAACTCCAGCCGAGGGGATGACTTGCTCCTGCTGGGGACAGGTGAATCGGCCCAGAGTGCAGGGACAGGAGCGGGGAAGCAGGGGGCTGACAGTATGGCAGGGCTTGACAAATTTGCTTTTAACTTTAACCACTTGCCTACTGGGCACTTATACCCCCTTCCTTACCAGGCCAATTTTCATCTTTCGGCGCTGTTGCACTTTGGATGACACTGGGCACTGACTGGCGGCAATAATGAGGCGGGCACTGACTGGCGGCACTGCTGGGCACTGACTGGCACAACTGCTGGGCACACTGCTGGGCACAGGTGGGTGGCACTGCTGGGTACTGATCATCAGGGCACCGATGATCGGTGCCGATCCCTGCTCTGACAACTGCCGGTTCTCGGCAGTACTTTCCTCACGCTCTGACAGCGTGAGGAAAGTGCAGCCGAGAACCAGCAATTGCATTTCCCTATGATCAGCATGTCATTGGACACGGCTGATCACGTGGTAAAAGGCCGCTGTGATTGGCCTTTTACCACATCACGTGATCAGCTGTTTGTCCGTAGGACACCGATCACAGAGATCGCCGGGGGCGCGCGCTGGAGAGGACGTCATATGATGTCCACCCAGAACTGGCCGGCCCGCAGTGCAGCCATCATTCGGCTATCTGCGGTCGGCAACTAGTTAAAGCTTTATTTTGAACGACAAAACCCCTTCTCTTATGTAGCCCTGATGTGTATCTTTACAGATACACAACACAGGTTACTCACCTCTGTCATTACTGGAGCACGCTCTCTCTAATTCTAATACCATGAATACATTCTCCAGTTTCTACAGTGCCCAGCTCAATGCCATGACACCTGCAATGTCTGAATCCAGAGGAGATGTTTCTGTGGCACTACAGCCGCTGATGCCCTTGTTCTCTCGCGCGCGCTCTCGGATTCAAATCCTGGACATGCACTGTGCACCATCTACTCCGGTGCCATGATGGCGAACTCTTCACCATAGCAACAGGGAAGACGTATGACCCCTATATACCACTACACCCTCATCCTGTATAGACTTATTTTAACCCCCCCCCACATACCTCAGATCCATATGTCTGCATAGACATATGACCCCCTGTATACCACAACTCCCCAGCCCCATCCTGTATAAACGTTTGATCCCCTATATACCACAGCCCCCCAATCCTGTATAGCCATATGACTCCCTAAATACCACAGCTCCCCCTGTAATGTATACATTATTCTAACCTTCGTACATATAGTACTTAATCCTGTATAGACATATGGCAACCTATATACCACAGCACCCCCTTCCTGTATAGACTTGAGACCCCCAAAAATATCTTTTATAGACGTATGACCCCCCTACATACCACAGCCCCCATCCTCGATAGACTTATTATGCCCCCTTATATAGTACAGCCCCCATCCTGCAGAGATGAGTAATGTTTATGGGCTATGCCATGGATGGAGGAGATGTCAAGTTCACATGGACTGACGGGAGGACAATCTAGGGCAGTGGTGGGCAACCTTTTTTTTTCAACTGAGCCAAATCTCGCCAAAACCACGATTGAAATTTATTTTGAGAGCCACATTTTTAAAACTGAAAATACATCCCCCATATAGTAATTCATCCCCCATATAGTAATTCATCCCCCATAGTAATTCATCCCCCATATAGTAATTCATCCCCCATAGTAATTCATCCCCCATATAGTAATTCATCCCCCATATAGTAATTCATCCCCCCTATAGTAATTCATTCCCCATATTGTGTCAATTCACTTACCTTTGCTCCGCGCGTTCCTCTCGCCGTGTTCCCGCGCCGTTCCGGTCTTCAGGGCGGACTGTGAGAGGAGAGGAGTTCGTCACGCTGCCCCGCCTACATCCTGACAGCCAATGTTTGCCACGCTCCGCGGGCCGAATTAAAAGGTCCGCCGGGCCGTAGTTTGCCCATTGCAGGGCTAGCTGCAGAGTCCTGACTTTTGGGGCGGCCGCCCGAGAGGAGGGAGGGGAGCGGGCGCCCGGCACACAGAAGAGCCGCATTAAAATGTGTAAAGAGCCGCATGTGGCTCGCGAGCCGCGGCTTGCCAACCACTGATCTAGGGGCATTGGGTATTTTTAATGGCTGACAAGATTTCCTGCCACAATAGTGAGGATGAAGGCTCCAGTGTGACACCGAGGACGGCGGGTCTCCTTTGTGCTCCCCAGCAGTCAGAACGATGTGGGTGTGACACCCCTGGCCGGAGGTAAACCGGGGGAGTTGCTCACCTGAGGGGTCTGAGCCAGATCTCATTCTTGTTGTCCACCACAGTGGGCAGACAGTTGGTCAGCTTCATCCAGTCAGTGTGCAGCCTGCAGCTCCAGCCGCCGGAGAATCTGGAAAAGAGCAAGGTCTCCTTCTTGCTGGGCTAGGAACAGCAGATGCACTTCTTCTGGCCCGCCTTGCACTTGCACAGTTGCTCCAGGCAGATGTTGTGGACCAGGTGTTGGCTGAAGGAGGTGCCCCCTGTCTTCTGGATGTGCAGGAAGTCCTCAATGATGTTGAAGTCCACCTTCCTCAGCAGCTCCTCGGTCCTGCCGGACCCTTGTCCTCGGCCCAGCACAGATGAGAACATCTTGGTGTGAGCAGCCTGGTGTCGGAATGTTCGGATATTCAGCCCTGTCTATGGCAAGTCTGGGCCTCTCCTGCAGGATCTGGGATTGTGCTGTGCACGGCTGGGTACTCAGCGGCACCCATCCTGGTGCCAGCAGTGAATGGGGTGACAAAAGCCTAGGCATCAAGATGCAATTTCTAGTCGCCATGGCGACTTGGCACCTGAGATTTGTCGAGCTCAGAAGTGTGACATAGATAAATATATATAACATAGTCTGCTAATGACAGAAATAGTTAAGAAAGAATCAGTGCTGTTTTAAAATTTCGGATTTACAGTATTTGAGTCAATTTTGCAAGAAAATGCTCTCTGCAAATAGCCTCATTAAAGGCTGTGGTTTTTCGATGGCACAGCACAAGCACACTTAAAGTCAGTTTGTGGCATAGCACAAATGTCAGGTCATGTTTCCCCTACCAGATAACTTCTGCTGTTAAGAGTAGATCTATTGTATTTCTTCTGTTTTGTGCTCTCTTTTAGGTACATGTCTCAGGCGTCTTCTCTCTCCTTCACACAAGCTCCTCTTGTAGAGAAGTTCAACAAGCTGAAGAGCTTCCATTTGGAGGATGAAATGCAGAGACTGAAGTAAGATTGCAACATACATCACTTGAATTTAATGGATTCTTACTTTGTAATAAATCACTGCCCAGGTTTTAGTTCATATTCCAGACATATTTGTAAAATTAGGAGTGGACACTGTACAAAAAATTTCTATCTGTCCAATCTGCATTGCTTTATTAGTGTGCAGAGGACACAATGTGTAAAATATTACTCTTGTTATGAGAGCTGGCTTTGCTTGCTACATACTACTGTTTGCCCCTTGACAAAGCTCAATGCTGATCTGTCATACCATGCTGAGTTTCCATATGCTGGCCTTGTGATATCGGCAATCTCTCTCCTCCCTAGTCCCAGCTGCACTGAGATTTGTGTGCAAAGTCTCACAAGACTTCAAAGACTGTGGAATGGAGAAATAAAGAGGTTATCTTTATGCAGCCTGAGCTAATTAAAAAATTATAGCTCTAAAATACACTACTCCACAGAGAATTAGATTTGTCTGAACCAGACTGTGGCACTAGCAAATCTATAGACATAATTTACAGATAGTATTTTTTTGTTTTTATGCAATAAGAATTCAAAGTCCACTTAAAGATAGAAGTTCTGGTGGCGTTTCGATTTGTATAATGGCCTTTCTTTTGTTAATTTGTTACAGAGTTTTGCTTGGCTCTGGAGACAACAGCTATGGAAGTGAATTATTTATGTGGTAAAGTGGCACAGGTTTAATGTTTATAGGATTAAACAATTAACAGTGACACCTGATTTGTAATTATGGGCAGCCAGAATTTTTTGTTTGCTGTTATCTTTGTAAATACAGAATATAATGTTTAGACCTAGCTTACCTTCATAGTATTACTGACTGTACTCAACATATTAAGTTGCTGGGACCTTATCGGATAACAGCCTGTGTAGTCAGTTGAATGCAAAACTGTTAGGGTTTACCAGTGCTTACTCCCAGAAAAAGTCATTTTTACTTATTTGCTTATTTCACTATTTTGTTAACATCTCATTTAACAATGTTTCACACCAATCTATCTGTATAGACTCCTTTTGGAAGCCACACCGTCTCCTGTAATGTTCTGCCACAATGATGTTCAGGAAGGTAAGGAACCCTCTGTAAATCACCGGTGTCTATTACTGCTTTGTAATGGTCGGCAGCAAAATAAACTTGAGTGTGCTTGTTTTTTTTATTTTGTTATTGGATATATATTTTTAATAGAAGGCCCCACCTAAGGGTAAGCACTAGTACATTCTGGTATTTAAAGTGGAACTAAAACCTCCTATCCTTTTTAGCCAAGGAAGCTGCCATCTTAGCCTCTGTTTGATCTGCGGGATGAGAGAAGCGCCTCTAAGTGCAGTATATCACTTTATTCAGGTGTAAAGGTTGGAACACTCACATAAATAAGGTAAGTATTCGCATAAAAACCGTGGTTGGTGTAACCATCAGTAAGGTGGGTATCCAGGGTGAAGAGCTGTCATTTGTGTGGGGTATGGAGAAGTCAGCGTGGTGGCTGGAGAGGAACAGCTGTGAGGCCGGCCAGCGTGCACGTCCTCCCTCAGAGCCAGGTGGAACGCAGCGGCTGGCCGGGAAAGGTGGAAGTGCGCTGCTTTGTCAAGCAGCTGTGTTCCAGTGTGAGTTCCACCCGGCTCTGAGGGAGGACGTGCACGCTGGCTGGCCTCACAGCTGTTCCTCTCCAGCCACCACGCTGACTTCTCCATACCCCACACAAATGACAGCTCTTCACCCTGGATACCCACCTTACTGATGGTTACACCAACCACGGTTTTTATGCGAATACTTACCTTATTTATGTGAGTGTTCCAACCTTTACACCTGAATAAAGTGATATACTGCACTTAGAGGCGCTTCTCTCCTTCTCTCATCCTACAGAGTCTGCTACAGTCTATTTGGAAGCCTTGCCCTCAGTGCTACGCGGGTCCCCCTACCCCACGCTCACCTTCCTCATACAGCCATAAATACTACCATTACCCCATACTAGGATTACCCAGGACATTTAGCAGTGCTTGTGCTGATCACCCCCCCCCCCCCCCATTTCTGTTTGATCTGCAACTGCCATTGTGCTGTACATGTGATCGGGTGTGACACCAGCCGTTTGATGGCTTTACGGTTTGGTTGGGGCACAAGAAAATGTGACCGCATTCCCGACATGCTTGGAATGGGTGTATTTCCACTTTTTAAATCTCACCAGACTCAACTAAAAATATCTAGCATCTTTTAAAATATTTTATTAGAATCCTTATCCTGGTTTGTTAGCATTGTGAATTGGGTCTTAAAGGCTAAGTTCACTTTTTTTTTTTCATAAAATCCAGCTCCCTTTATACACCAGTATACCATTAATGTACCTCAGTTGCAAAAATATACAAGCTTTCTTTGATCTGGAGTACAGACATTTTAAAGTTTCATAAGCTTTTCATGAATCATTGAATATTTAATATCCATTCAGCCCTTTGTCAGCTTTACTTGGGAAACAGTTATATAAGTACTGACATAGTAACTAGTAATGACCTAACTAGCAAAGAAGAACTAAAGCCATCGATTTAACAGTTTCCCTAAACTATTGTATTCAAGGCATACTCTAAAAACAGATCTGCTTGTGCTAGCAATCAAACAGTCAAGTCCTCATATGTCTGGTGTCATAACTGATCACATATCCAGCACCATGGCAAATGCAAATCAAACAGAGGCTAAGATGTCAGCTTCTTTGGCTGTTAAGGATAGGAAGGTTTAGTTCCACTTTAATTACCAGAATGTACTTACTATTTTTCCAAGCTTTTCTTTGCCCTTGAAGACATCTATGCTTACCCTTAGGGGGACTTCTATATATTAAAATAAATATGCAATAACACTTTTAGGCTCCATATACACTAGCGGTTTTTCTTTTTTTTTTAAACACTGTAAAAAAAACGATGGCTAAACGCTGGTAGTAGCTGTTTTTTGGTTGCGATTTAGGAGTGTTTACTTTTTATTAGCCTTTTTACAGTACATGTAGAAAAAAGCAGAAAGCAGCTAGGAGCGTTTTAGTAGCATTTATGAGCATGTAACTTTTTTTTTTCTGCTCCTAGATGTTGAAGCTCAAAAAATGCTAAAAGCCTAAAGTAATGTGCACGGACACAAAGGATAATGCTATTTAGTTTCTAGGAGCAGAAAAAAAAAAATGCTAAAAAAAACCATCTGCTTAGAGCTTAGAAAAATGCTAGTGTGCATGGCGCATCAATGTACCCAGTCTGTAAGCTAAAGAAGTTTCTTGGTTGTTCTTAAAGCAGCTGTATTTCTGGTTTGGAGCCTTTTGCTTGCTGGATAGTTGAGCTTAGTCACTTCAGGCTCAATGGGAATTAAGTCTCTGGCCTAAAATTGGTATAAGGTCTAGTAATGGCAGACTGAATTAGAGACAGATGTTTTGCTTTATGACCGATTCCCTTTAAATATTTAGTAAATTATAATAATACTATATATGTCACCTTTGGGTAAATATAAAGTAGTTACATCTAAAAGTATATTGCAGAGTATATGGAACTTAAAACATTTTTTTACTAAGGATACATTTACATTGTATGGGTGATTTGAAATTTGCTGGCGTGTTATTTAGGAAGTTGTAAGATGAATTGGATCTTACTGAACATGTTGGTGTGCTTATTGACTGCCAAGAACAATTGCAAGTATCTCTCTTTCAGGAAACATTCTGCTATTGTCGGCTCGTTCTACCCACCCGACAGATAAGCTCATGCTCATTGACTTTGAATACAGCAGCTACAATTATAGGTGAGCCTTAGCAATGTTGTGGTTCTGAGTTCTCTTTTGCTGTATTGTTATTCCCACACTAGCTCCATCTGGTGCTGCCTCTGTGCTCTATCAGTGCAATAGTATGAGGGCCTGTTCACATATTTGCATTGACAAACGGTTTCCTGCATTGGAAGAATGCTGGTCACTTCATGGACACACAGAAAACATTGTTCTCTGTGTCCTCTTCACACTACAATTTTGTGCCATATGCAGCGCAGGGTGTTGCGTTTAAAATGCTACATGAATGCATTTTAACGCAACATAGATCAACACCAGTCTATTGGAGAGAAAAAAATTGCTTTTTATTATTGTGTCTCTTAAGCTGGCCATAGATGGATTGAAACTCAGGCAGTTTAGCAGGGACCAGCCGAATTTCAATCCATCTGTGGTCCTTTTCGAGAGCAGTCAGGCTGTTGATCAACTGCTCATGAACAGGCATGCTTGAAATCTTTAGTTTGATCAGCGCTGCAGTGCTGATCAGCATATTCTGATAGTGGAAGAGTCCAGCTGACACAGCAGGGAGGATTTCCACATCCACCTCTAATGTGTGGTTGGGTGAATTGGTTCAGTTTATTTTGTTCAGCCCACTGGCTGAACAAAAACAACTGAGCCATGTGTGGCCAGCTTTCCAAGGATCTACAGTATGTGTTTGTCTCTTTCTATTCCGCCCCCCCTCAGACAACTCCTCCCAATCTGCAAACCGGAAAAGGATTCAATAGCAGCGAAAATAACCTGCAAAATGCATAATAATTTAATGTGCATAAAAACGTGTCAACTCGCATGGATATGTCTGTGCATCAATGGAAGGCAATGCACAACCATTTTTCGAGCATTTTTATCGTTTTTAAAGTGGTAGTAAACTTGCCCAAAAAAAAAAAGAAACAAAAAATCCCCCTGCAAGGTAATGTCACAGTGTGCTAGTATGTGATTCATACTAGCACATTATGAAAGGCTTGCCTTAGAACGAAGCCCTCCAGCAGTGCGCTGTCACTGCTAACAGGGCTTCCATTTTCACCCAGTCTTCCTTCCAGGTTCGTGGACTGTGGCTGCTTCATTGGCCAAGCCACGATGATAGTCTTGGCCACGCACAGAGCTCTGAAGGAATGGCAGGGGTATGCCGTTCCTTCAAAGAGTATGCACTGGTGACATCACCGGCTGCAGGGACATGGAATATCTCCTAAACGGTTCATGCTTAGTAAATATTCCTTGCACGTACAGGTAAGCTTTATTATAATACAAGTAGTAGGTACAAGTGTCCACTTTAATGTATACTTGTGAACAGGCCCTTGGGCTTCTTTCACACCAGTGGTATTCTTTACTGTCTCTTTGAAAAGCAATGTGTGTAGCTTTTCCGAGGGCTGTGAAAGAAGGATAGCAGACATTCAGGAGGCAATACTGCTAAATTTTTTTGGGGGGTTAAGGGGTCATGGTGTTTTACTGCTGACCGTCAATTTTATATTGCGAAACTACAGCACAACTGTGAGCCAAGCGTTTGCTAACGGTTTGTGGGGCAGCCCCATACTCTTACATGGGAGAGTTTTGACAGGCGGTGTCTGTGAGACTCTGTATGTAGTGTTGTAGGGATGCATAAATGGAAATTGAGTCCTGCATGTTTAATGAGAAAGAAGAAGCTCATTCAATCACATAGTTTGGGTGTTAATGGTTCATGACTACATGTACATTAGCACAGAGATCTAGGCAGAGTATACACTGAGGATTTTTTTTTTTTTTTCGTTGAACCAGTGGGTTGAAGGGAAGAAAAAAAAAATCAGATTCTTGCATCCACACAAACTATCTACCCCTCTGCGCTCTTTTATTTTGACAGCATTTAGACTAGCTCCTGCCGAACTGGCTGGATTTTGATGTGTCTACTCATTTTAGTTAATAAGAACTGCCTTTTTAGTAAGGTTAATGGTATCACTAACCAATGTGATTAAGCAGGAAGTTAATGCACTGTGTAAGGAATGTATGTACTTGTAGTGCACCATTTATAACAATCATGTTTCTTTGTTTTGCCTAATTAGTGAAAGGTCACTTTGTGTTATTACACCCTCATTGCCCTTTGCATTAACTTTTAATTTACAATGGTCAGACTCCCATGGTTAAGATTTTCTTCATGAATAGCTCAATATCTATAAACCCACATAAACAAAAGTTGTTAGAACAGCTTATCCTCTGCTGACAACTTTTATTGAAACCAGAAATTGAAATTCTGCTTCAACTTACTCCTGTCACTATATTAATATTTGATTTGCTTTGAAAAGTCCACATTGTTATTTGTCGACCTAACCGATTGATCATATCCAGACTTGTGTGTATGTGTATATATAATTTTGCAGGGCTCAACAAATCCCAGGTCGCCATGGTAACTAGAAATTGCATCTTAGCACCAGGGTTCACACACTGCCTCCCATTGACTTCAATTCAAAAGCCATCCCATTAACTTCAGTGCAAAAACCCCTCCCATTGACTTCAATGCAAAAACTCCTCTCAATAGCAGTCATATGTGAACACTTGATACAAATGGAGAAACAGAAAAAGGGCGCACCGACCTAGTGCATTATCGTTTAAAAAAATTTATTAAAGGAACAAAAATAGGTATCATACTCACAATGGACATAATAACACAGGCATGTCAAACTGAACAAGATGTATGATCCAAACATCTGAGTCCATACGATGGAACCCTGGATGACCAACTGGCTAAAGCGTTTCGAGGACACAACCTCTTCCTCAGAGCCACTTATCTCCGCATGCCACTCTACTCTTATCACTTGCGAGACTGGCAAACACAGCTATAAACTCACACAAGACCCTTTTCGTAATAGCACTCAAAACACAATGCATGTGGATCACACCTGTGTGAACCAGCTCAATAGGAAATCATATTATCTAGCCTGTATACGAATCTGTGAGTTTGAAACCGCATCCAGAATCGCATTTGTGTGAAACAGGGAGGCTCTATTCACACCTGGGCATTTTGGGATCTTGGCAGAATTGCTGCGATCGCAAAACACAGGTTCAGGTGCCATTATTTTCATTGCCACCTAAAACGTAGTGCGGTTTTGCCGTGATTGTTGCAAGGCAATTTGCATTGCTTGAAGCTTGTTGCCAAAAAGTTGCCTTGCCCCGGGCGCTGACAACCCACGCTAAGCTAAAACTAAACTGCCTCCTAACTTTTTTAGCTGGCTCCTAGATTCAAAGCAAATTTGTCAAGCCCTGATATATTGTGTGTATACATTGAAGATTGGCAGGAATAAAAGCTTGTCACGTGCCGCAATACCTGCACAGAAATGGTAAGCTTTTCCTAGCCACAATAAGGGTGAGGGGACTGTGATATTCAATGCTTCCAGTATTGGAACCTATAAAAGCAACTGTCTTTTATATCAAGAATAGAGACAGCTCATACCAAGGGGCGGACTGACCATTTGGAAACTCGGACACTGCCCGAGGGCCCGGGGTCAGTAGGGGGCCCCATGAGATGCACCTTTTTCATAGGCTTTTTTGAGTTTGGGCAAGGACACAGGGGCTCCATGATCCCCTATTGCCCCGGGGGCCCCATGAGTTGTCAGTCCACCCCTGCTCATATCATACACCATTTTCTAATGTTTATGCTGTACATGACAAACTCATCTTTTTTTCTTTTTTTTTTTTTCAACTCTCTACAGAGGATTTGACATTGGGAATCACTTTTGTGAATGGGTGTACAATTATCAACATGATGAGTGGCCATTTTACAAAGCAGAACTAAGCAACTATCCAAACCGACAGCAGCAGGTACCTATCCATGATAATTAGAGTTGTTAGTTGTTTGTTTAAAAAAAAACAAAAAAAAAAAAAAAAACCAATACAAGCCTTAGTTTATATAACATGATAGATATCAATATAAGTAGATTAGAGTTGCACCCTGTAATTAACTTATCTTGATACTTCATTTTATTAACTATAAAAGGGCTGCATATACAGTATGTCACAGTGAGTAAACCCCTCACATTTTTGTAAATATTTTATTATATATTTTCATGTGAGAACACTGAAGAAATGACACTTTGCTACAATGTAAAGTAGTGAGTGTATAGCTTGTATAATAGTGTAAATGTGCTGTCCCCTCAAAATAACTCAACTCAACAAATTTACACTGTTATACAAGCTGTACACTCACTACTTTACATTGTAGCAAAGTGTCATTTCTTCGGTGTTCTCACATGAAAAGATAGAATAAAATATTTACAAAAATGTGAGGGGTGTACTCACTTCTGTGAGATACTGTATGTAGTCGCCACCAAAAATATGAACTCAACGCGTTTCACCCTGACCACCTCTATCTTTCTAAACAAGCCCATAAGGGTGAAACATGTTTAGGGAGTGTTTTTTTGTTTTTTGGTGGATACTTGTATGCTACCACTTTATTGTTTAATAGAATTAAATTAACAAGACAAACTAATTATGGAGCGTGACTCTAACCTACTTATGTGTCTGTTTTGAGTGAAGACTGACTGCAAAAGTAGGCACTCAGATGATCTGTGAATGTTAAGAGGTAGATGTTAGCAGTAGTGTCGTGGATTTGGGGTATGCCATGACAGATATAAGTTTTACTTGGGTTAACGGGTCAAATGGGTGATTTGTTACTGGCTACACAATACCAGTAAGAAGATTTCTGAAATTAAACATTCATTATCCATCATGAAAATTGCTCTATCCAAAATGCTGCTTAATGGTAGGCAGGCAGCAGTTATTTCTGTGGCTTAGGCAGTGAGGGAGCACTCGATATATATAAACCAAGAACAACTTTAGGAATTCAATCTCAAGGGAGTGTTGCCAGAGAAAAAGTTGAATTTGGTGACTTAGTCGCATAATAACTTTGTTCTCCTTGTTAATCTGTTACTCTTTTGATATGGTAGCTCCACTTTTTCCACTCGTACCTATTGGAAAATAGTCCAGAGCTCAAGGAGGAGGATCGGCATATTCAGGCGGAGGCAATGGTTATTGAAGTGAACCGGTAAGAAAATGCATTAATTGTGGTCAGGCTGTCCGTATTTCCCCAGTCTTTATATATTGTAAGCATCATAAGCACTTTTTATTTCCTGTTTTTCCTGCTTTCATAAAATCTTTAATCCAAAACCCATGTTTTTCTGTTGGTCTCTTTTTATGGTAAAAAAAACAAAGTATAGAGTGTATACATAAGATTGTGCTTTGCTTGTCTCTCTGGAATAGCTGGACCAGTGGGGGAGCAGTTCCACAGAGATAAGGGAAAAGTTCTTCCATGTAGCACATCACCTGCAGCAGAGCTGGCTGTGTGACATTAGCATTATTATTATTATTTTTTTTTTTTCCAAAAAGAAAGCCTTTATTAATAAAGAACATAATGGTACAAAAGACATGTACAGGGTGCCTAAGCGAAACAACAGGCACAACCTACAGCGACACAGCAGTAACTCAAACAAGAAAACACAGACAATACAATGATACAAAACCCGACTACAATAAGGTTATGCTTGCAACAAACCGGAGCCAATATAGTATAGTATGGGGTGTAATTGCATCATATCCCCTGCGTTCGTGCTTTGCCATGCAGGGCTGTAGCGACAGGACGAGTGGTCATGGCACCTGAACGTAGGATTCGGTCAAAAGCTTATGGCAATGGGGAGAGTTACAAAGCCGACATACGTTGCGGTAGGAGCATTATTATTATTATTATTATTATTATTATTGCTGCTTTTAGCTTAAAGCAATTGTATATATCTGTACTCTAGAGAGTTGTAGATGTTTTTTAGCCTATTTATATTATTAATATAATATTTATTTCACATATAAACATTAATACCTAACAATGGATTCCCTAAGCACTATGGTTTTGCAGAAGAGTGAGGCAACAAAGCAGTAGTTGCTTGCATTTTTTATCTTCCTTTTAATGCAACTTCAGACTGAGCCATAATTTGTAAACTAGGAATTTCATCAAAAAAGGGGACCTGGATATGTGCAAACAGTACCTAAAGCTCCACCTGCACTAAGAAACAAAGGAACATGTGATATTTCAGATTTACCTGAATAAAAAAAATAGCATTCCTTTTAACTGAAAGTTGAATGACTCTTAGACACTGATTGTGAGATGAGATGGCAAATCACAACCACTGTGTAGCTGTGCAAAGTAGAAAGCAGAGCCTGTATATGTAATACGTATGGACACACACACTCGATCGTATCAGGAAGCAGTATTGTTAGAAGGCAAGCTGGCAGAAGTAGTGTGATCTTTTGTGCAATGTTCTGCTGGGAAATCTTGGTCCTGCCATTCATGTGGATATTACTTTGATGCAAAACCATATTCCCTGATGACAGTGGCCTCTTTCAGCAAGACAATGCTCCCTGCCACACTGCAAAAATGGTTCAAGAATGATTTGAGGAACACAAGTGTGAAGTGTTGACTTGGCCTCCAAATTCTCCAGATCCTAATCCAATCGAGTATCTGTGGGATGTGCTGGTTACACAAGTCCGATCCATGGTGGCCACACATCCATTGCAACTTACAAAAATGAAGGCTCTGCTACTGACGGCTTGGTACCAGATACAAGAGCATACTTTGAGAGGGCTAGGGGCATCAATGCCTCTACGGGTCAGGCTTGTTTTGGCTGCAAAAGGGAGATCTACTCAATATTAGGCGGGTGATCATAAAGTTATGGCTGATCTGTGTGTGTGTGTGTGTGTGTGTGTGTGTGTATATATATCATCCACACACATACAAACTATATGGGAAATTTGGTTTTGATGAATCTACTGTAAAGCCATTTTTTTCCTTCAAAGAAGCAGATCTGTAAAATATAACATAGGTGACCTTGTTCTGGCCAAAGGCTGCTATCTCTGATGGTGTCAAGGGAAGCGCTCACCAGATGGTAACTTTTTGAATGTGTACTGAGGAGCACCTGGTACAAAAGTTCATCACATGATGTTTTGAAAGATTTAATGGTTAACAGCATCAAATACAGCCAGCGTATTTTGGGGGAAAAGGCAAAAGGCCTCCTTCATGGCTTGAGCTTTCAATATTAATAAAATCACAGCAGGCTGCATTAAGGGGCATGTGTTAAGGTTTGATGAAGACCAACGTCTTCTGACAGCACTATATAGGCAGATGGAAAGGGGGGGAGGGGGCTTTTTCCTTCTAAACATTTTAGATGTATTTGATGTTTTAACCATTCAATGTCTCAAGACGTCTTTCAAGGAGAATTAACTTTTGTACCTGGTGTTCCTTAGTATGCATCAAAGACTGTAATTTAATTGGCCATAAATAAGTGGTAAAATATCTTTTCTAGTGGACAGTGACTTGGATCATTTACTGTTTTCAGGAGATAAGGTGGCTGAAGAATCCTCAGACCAGGAACACTGGTGGGTTTGTCAGATGCCTGTCCTCATGCTGTGCACTGTGGCTTTATCCAACAATTTTCCATTTCTCCTAGATGTTCCAGCAGTTGTTGTCCTCTGTCTGACCATTCACACATAAATCTGTCAGAATGTTTTATAGCCTTTCACACCATTCTTCTAGAGGCTGTAGTTTGTAACACTCCCAGTAGGTCAGCAGTTTCCTTATTTCACAATCACCTTGTCTAGGAACCAAATATACTCTGTCAGTCTTTTAGATCACACATCTTTCTGTTCTAATGTTTGATCAAACAAATGGGCCTGTTGATGAAATGTTTGCTTTGTGTGTAGCAACGGAATCTCGGTTTTGGTTGTTTTGCATTAATGAGCAGGTGTATTTAATAATGTGATCACTAAATGTACAGTGTTATGTAAGTCATGTTTGATGTGCTAATCATCCTAATCACTAGCAATTAACATATTTTGACTGCTTTAGGTATGCTTTGGCTTCACATTTCTTCTGGGGTCTCTGGTCTATCCTGCAAGCAAAAATGTCAACTATTGAATTTGGTTATCTTGTAAGTATGTGTTTAAATACATCATTTAAATCTAGTATAGTAAAGTGGGTGAATTTTCTGCATTTAGCATCGGCTGCTTTGTGTCTTTATGAGGAACCTGTGTTTTTTTTTTTTTTTTTTGTGTGTGTTGTAAAGTCTAAGTTCTAAGCTCTTTGCTTGTACTTCCATATGGCCAGACAGTTACTCAGCTGCAGAAAATATCAGTGATCTATGAGGGCACTTTTCTGTGCCCTCATAGTTCTTTGAGAACTGCAAACCTTAGCAGAGCCTCACGCAGCTGCACCATTTTCAAAATATAATAGTGGCTGAGAGGAGAAGAACCCTCTTCTGCTGTCACAAGGAAAAGGGTGGTGAGGTGGGGGTTTCTGGACATGTTACACCCTAAATATGGGTGTAACATGTTCAGAACGTGAACTTAGCCTTTAAAGAAGACTTAAGCTGTGAGCCAAAAAAAAAAAAGAAGCCATGTAGAGGAGTGATAGACTAGTCACCGCTATTGCCTATAGGCTCACTGCAGCTGATTTTTTTCTGCCCTTAGATGACTAGGGATCTTGATAACGAGGAGCACAGATCCACAGAATTAAAAAATCAGAAGCTGTGAGCTCCTTTATATAACTGCCTTATATGCAATTTTCTTTTACCTTACTAATTCACATTTTGTATTTTTTTTAGCTCTTTATCTTTTCTGCCTAAAGTGTAGTGTAAAAAAAAAAAAAAAAAATCTAAGAGGAAATTCCACACCTTTTGTCATAAAATATATCCTGAACACACAGACCTCAGATGCAGAGAAGCCTTGCTCTCCACTGCACTGTGCCCCATTTATAGCCTATCTAGAGTTTTAGTGGGTTGTGGTGTTTGTACCAACCAAAAAGACAGCACTTCATCTCTGTACCTTCAGAGCCATACCTGCACCTACAGAAGAGATGTTTAGCAGGGCAGATGCTGAGGCATTTGGGAGCAAGTCCATGCTGTATCTTTATTTATGGTGTGTTTTTTTATTTGGGATTGTGAGTAAAAATTACCTGCCAGGACGCCGTCAGACTGTCTGTGTAAGCTGCCTGTTCGTAACTCGTATGGGCAGGCATTTTTTCACTGACAGGAAAACTCAATGAACTACAAGCCAGTATCCACAAAGGATGTCAGTACTAGTTCATTCATTCACAGAACTCTGTGAATGAATGATGCGGCCGTTTGGGTGGAGCCCTGCACAGCTGCACTGTTTTCAAAAAGTGACGCCTAGTACAAAATGTTGCAGGGAAGAGGGGGCAGCAGAGGAAACATGTTCCACCCTAAAAACGGGAGAAATATGTAACCTGTTCCCAAAGGTGAACTTCTTTAACTGGCAATTGCTCACTCATTTAACACTGTACCCAAATGATGTTTTATATACTTTTTTTTTACACACAAATAGATCTTTCTTTTGGTGGTATTTAATCACCACTGGGTGTTTTAATTTTTGTTCTATATAAATGAAAATAAAAATACTGAATTTTGATTGAGGAAAAAAAAAACACACTCACGGCCACTTTATTAGGTACACCTTGCTAGTGCCAAGAAATATCTTCCACATCCTTACACCACCACCAGCCTGAACTGTTGATACAAGGCAGGAGATGGATCCATGCTTTCATGTTGTTAACGGCAAATTCTGACCCTACCATCTGAATGTCGCAGCAACCAGTCTGCCCATTCTCCTCTGACATCAACAAGGCATTTTCGTCTACACAACTGCTGCTCACTGGATATTTTCTCTTTTGGACCATTTTCTGTAAACCTCTATGAACCATGGCACATTCAAATGGCACACTTAAATTCCCCTTCTTCCCCATTCTGATACTCAGTTTAAACTTCAAGTCATCTTCACCACGTCTAGATGCCTAATTGCATTGAGTTGCTGTCGTGATTGGCTAATTAGCAATTTGTGTTACCAAGCAATTGAACAGATATACCTAATAAAGTGGCCGGTGAGTGTATAGCCCTACATGTAGGTACAGTGAATATCTCCTAAACTTGTGCTGTTTAGGAGACATTCTCATCTGCAGGAGCCAACTATGTTGTTGGACAGTGCACTCTGCAATCA